ACATAAATTTACTTCAATCACTATAGGATAATGATCACTCCCTATAGTCGTTTCTCTAAACACCTCATAAGCATATACCCGCCAGTGAATTTGAAACAAGTGTAAGATCAATAGCTGCTTCTGTTCCTGTTCTTACATTAATCCTTGTTCCCCTTCCATCATTTAAACATACTAAATCCTTAATCTCCATTAATTCTTCAATCACTATTCCATTCCCATCATTACAATTGTCCCATAACGTGCTATGAACATTAAAATCTCCGCAACATATGATTTTCCCTTCTAAATGTACAATCAGTTAATCCAATACCTCTAGTGATAGTCTTTTACATGGATTATAAAAATTTATAATTTTAACATTTCCTTTTTTTTCTCCAAAACTTCTATTACTATAAATTCCAACTTCTTTCCTTTCCCTAAAACCTTATATTGTATTCCTTTTTTTTTAACAAATATTATACACCCTCCCCCAATATTTTCCTCTCTATCCCTGCGTATACTATCATATCCTTTAATACTAAAATCCTTTAGGTTTCCTGAATGCATATGATTTCTGGTTTCTTTTTAAACCCTTTTATAAAACCTTTAAACTCTTGGCCATTTGCTAACAAGCTTCTTGCATTCCATTGTACAATAGTCAAGTTGTCTTATCACCTGCATGCGAGTTTAGTTAGTGTTGTGAAGGACTGGTTATGTTTAGCGTCCTCTAGCGGAGAGTCAGGTCACAAAATACGAATTTTATAATAATAATAAATTATATATATATATATATATATATATATATATATAGCTCTAATCATAAGTGATGGCACTAGTCATCACACTGCAGTGAGAGTCCTTCTTCTTGGTGTCATAATCTATAATGATAAGTTATAATAAGTGGATTTAGTAACATTTTAAGATGGCAAACAACACACTGAATTAAACACAAATTTTTGCAGTAGAAAAACAGAAAATAATGTATTGTAAAACATACTCCAGCAATTTACTGTTTGGTTACCAACATTGTTCAAAAGTATTTTCTTTTGTGTTTCACAGAAGATATTAACATACAGGTTTACAATGACATACGTCTCAAAGGTTCAAAACAAGATAAAACAATGTTAAAACTTGGTTTAAAAGCATTAAAGAGTTTTTCTTCCATACAACAATGTTGTATGGATGATTGTTTGGATGACCACCACAACCACCAACCTAGTTACCATTGCGGGGGGGGGTTAACCCCTGTCATATATTAATGCATGCTCCAAAGTCCAGAGCTAGTTCAGCCTACTGAAGGTATTTTTCAGCAGTGTTTATACCCGGCCATGGCCTGATGGAAAGCTTTATAAATGACTGAGTTTTGAGAACATATCAACCCACCACCTCTGCCAGCCTGGCCACTGTCTCTGTTCAAGTCCCCCAGACATGTCCATTGGTCTTTGAATGCGTAAGACACACACCACTTAGAATGATCCTCGTAGCTTTTGAACATCTGAGGTCCTGGGAGACAAACTCTGTCAATGTTCATCACGTGCCGGGGAAGAGAGCAGTTCGAGGGGAGCCGATGTGCCTGGTGCAGCCATGATTCCACTAGAAGATCTGTCCCCAATGCTTGAGCCACCCAGCCGGTGTAAATATCTGGGGAGAACATTCAGCATGGAATTAGACTCTTATTACTCTGTATTATGTTAAAGGAATAGTTTTACCTGAAACTGTTTAACCAAAAACCCTGTCATTAATCACTTTTAACTTTTGTGGAACACAAAAAACATAAACACAAAGACTGTCTATTATCTATTGCAATTACAATGAATATGGACTGAAAATAATGCAAAAGTTCCATAAATATATTCTATAAATCATTCATGCTACTTCTTTGCTACTTTCCAAGTCTTCTGAAGCAGATACAGCGTTGGATAATAAACATAACATAAAACGATTAAGATTTTTATTTATTTTTAAAGCAACTGATGCTTGTTTGCGAGAGAGAGAGAGAGAGAGAGAGAAAACTCTCAGTCCTCATTTATTGCTTTTGCATGGAAAAATAATCTCATGATTTCTAGTTTTGTGTTTCACAGAAGGAAAATCAAATGGGATTGTTCGTTTGGGGGTGTCACACTACACTGTATATTAAAAAACACGACGATGATGAAGAAAGATTCTAAAGTCTTTAATCCAACACACAGAAGATCCAACAAGGGTAATCCAACAAACAGGGTAGCAAACACGACGTTATCATAGACGAGACCGGACAAACTAGAACTGAAAACATAGGAACTTAAATACACAGACCAAACAAGGATACTAACTAGACACACCTGAACAAAATATTACAACCAACACAACGAAGGGAAACGTGCAAAAAGGAAAACAATGTGCATGTGGTCGTGACAGGGGGATGATAGGGATTAAGTTGTGACAGAATGATTTTTCATTAATTATAAGACCACCAGTTATAGATCACTAGTGTAACGTTGGCAGGCATGACAACGCAGTCGTGGATCCAAGTGCAGGATTTATTCAAAAGAGTGGTCAAACAGGCAGGGACACACCAGCAAACAGGTATAATCCAGGGCGATTACAAAAGAGTAATCCACAAAACAGGCGAAGGTCAGGGCAGGCAGCAAACAATCAGAAACGAGGTAAACAATCCAAGGCCAAGAGACAAGGCTAGGCAAGAAAACAAGGAACTAGGAAACACGGAAAGGCACAGGAACTAGGGGACGCTACAGGGTAACAATATTAAGCAATGAATGAGTGAAAAAACAAGCTTTAAATAGGGTGAGACTGATGGAGGTAACAAGACACAGGTGAATGCAATCAGCGATCAAGAGTATAGGCAAAGGATTATGGGGAATGTAGTTAGTGAAGGAGTGACAACAGTCTGGGGAGGAGCGCCCTCAGGAGGAGCTGGTGATTGTAACAACTAGCTTTTAGAAAATTGTATTCATCTTGTTGGGGTTTTTAAGATTTAGTGTTAGTTAAAAATGTAGTTTTACTGGATATGTTTACAATGTCTATTAGACCCCAATATTTTATTCTTTTTTAACTTGTAAAGTTTAGTTAGGAATACTGTAAATATGTTTACTGTGGTTAGCTTTACAGTATTTATATTTAATAGCTTTTTTTTGCATGCAAATATCTTGCAACGTGCAAATATTTCTGTTAAATTAATAAGTATACCATGATGTGAATAGTGAGGAATAATAAAATGATATATTATGTAACGTTGTAATAATATACTTTCTACTGTGTTGTGTACCGAAAAGGATAGTTCAGATTATAAGATGGCAATAAGAAGATATGCAAAATAAATAACTCTCTAGAAAACATGTAGGGGTTGAACTTGAGTCTTGCAGGGTTGCATGGTGATTACATAATCAATGTTGCTTAAGCATGTTGTTCTACTTTGGCATAATGTAATGTCAGTAAACTGCTATGCAGGACCATCAGTCTGAATATAAAGAGTTTTTGAACTTGAGAGCTCTCACCATCCACATAGTTGTGTGATTTGGAAAAACTGAAAAAAATTTGTCCTCAAACTGATTTCAGCTTCTGCAGACTCCTTCTGTTTTTAATGGCTGGTATCTTACCATCACAAATTTGTGCCATGACTGCAACATCTGGGCGAAATGCCATAGGGACAGAGCAGTTATACATACGTGGATTAAGATATGCTAACTGCCATGCTGTTAAAAAAAGGAATACTTATTTCAAGCAGTGAGCAATAAATGATACCATGCTTTAAATCAGACATACCCAATATAATAAGAATTACATGTGCTCACATATTTGAGGGAACTGTGTATAGTTGTATGTAATACAGTGCAGCGTCTGGCCGTAGTATTTTCCTGTAGATGGAAAACTGTAATTTCTCTCTGGAAATGGAGGAAAATGCGGAACACTGTGTGTGAGCCAAAATCCCTGAGACTGGTCAAACATCAACACTCCTGCAGAAATCATACACATGACAATACAGTTACTCATGAATCCACATGCAGCTGGATACATATTTGCAAGTTTCATCTTGCTCGAACACTGGTTTTGATGTGAAGAGTAAGAATAGGCCTATTCATTACATCCAAGTTACAGGGGGCTGAAAAGAAATAGAGAGAAAGAGAGACAACTGTCCTAAACTTATTAGGCATCGCCTTTGTGCCATAACTTTGATTACATCATGTGACACTGAAGACTGGAGTAATGATTCAGAATTAAAATAGAAATAGATTTTATTTTAAATGGTAATACAATTTGTCATTTAAACATAAGACATTTCAAAAACCTTTAAAAATCTTACCAACCCCAAACTTTTTGAATGGTATTGTTGAATACGTTGTATATACACTGTCACATTAACAGATACACGTGAAAAAACTTTTGTATGTCCATACTTGCTTGGGTACTTCAGTTCAGGTGGAGCATCACTGTAAAGCATACAGACTAAGCTGGTGGACTGAAAAGTGAAAGTGCAGTCATCTATGTTCAGGGACTTTATAGTGTTATGAATGCACATACAGTATAACGCAACCCAACAGCAGTGAAAACTGAAAGATTTGAAGTGTCTTAATGAACTTTTGTAACAGTCCAAAACATTGTTACATCCTAAACAATAGGCGATGGTAGAATAGTTGAGAATACAGTAATATATCAATATATATTAGTATTCAAAGAGCATCTTACTGTATATCTGGAGTAAAGCTGAGTCAATGTTCTGCCTAAAGCTCCTTTACTGCTGTTGACTGTATGTTTACTCATCTGAAAATCCATGACGGACAGATCCAGATACATGTAATCCACTCCACTTCCTTTAACTGCCATCCTGTAAATGGGAAGCTTGTAAATAATGAACCTTTTAAAAGAATATATGAGAGTTACAATGCTATAAAACATTGAATGATATGATGCACATAACAGTTCACAGTGCATAGTAGCTATAAGATGAATGTCAACAACAACGATCAAACATGTCATCATAAACTAATCCTAAACCCAAGAGCAAAGATTTTAACCTACCAGTCAACCGGCTGACCATCCTCGTTTAAAGGGGTCATATGATGCGATTTCAATTTTTCCTTTCTCTTTGGAGTGTTACAAGCTCTTGGTGCATAAAGAAGATCTGTGATATCGCTGCCTCTGAGAAACTGATACACACACACAGTCGAAATAACATTAACATTTCAGTCTGTGATTCAAAGTGAATAAAACATCTGAATTTCCTGTTTAAATTAAAACAGAGAGATAGAGAGACGCTTTCTCTCGTATTTCGAGCCGTGAAATCAAAACAGCTGCTCTACTGTATGTAAGAAAGAGGAAGTTTGTCTTATGACCGACATCATGCAGCTGTAATCTATAGCGACAGAGAAGCGGTCTGAATATAGCAGGGACTGGGGAAATGAAAATCTGGTTGTTTAGAAATCTAGAATATTTCCCTAAAATCTGTAAATTAATGTTTGTAAATTAAGTACTATGAGTAATACAACCTACCCCACTACCAGGGTGAGTTTTAACAGTAGATGGGTAGGGCTGTAATACCATATTATAGTGTATTATTTTGTGCATTAATTAAATTAAGTTAATTATTTATAAGTAACCTCTGTAAAGTCTAACATATGAAATAACAGTCTTAAAAATTTATTATATATGTAATTCTTTTGAAATGGAACATTTTAATTAAACTCGAATATTAAAACGTTTAATTAAAAAAAAAGTAAATTAAAACTAAACAAAATCGAATATATTTAGTCTATATTAAATATAATATAAATTCCATATAATTTGCTTGGCACTAAAGCATACAGACTGAGCTATTGCACTGAAAAGTACAGTAATCTGCAGCAACATTATATATATAGCTCATTCGAGGAGGAAATTTTATTTGTTGGTGCAGTTGCTGATATTTATATGGCCAAAGAAGAAATTCTGATAGTTTGTAATGTAACTCAAGATCTTTATAACAGTCCAGCAGACTGCTTACATAAAAAAACATAGAATTAGTTGTCACTCTATATCTCCCAATAAGATGTCTAAGATGATTTAGAGATGATCAAATGTTCCGCAAAAGCTTCATGTATCAAATTTGATACAATTTAACATGATTTTTCTTATTAAAAAAATTATTGATAACTAAGTAAACTAAATTGCTTCAGTCCAGTAAGTGTTCATCTTAAAATATTACTAATAATATAAACGTTATTCTGATGTTTACTTCAGAATAATCAGTGATGATTTCACAGCAAATGAATTGCAATAGTTTCACATATTGTCGAATGTTTGCTCTATGAATGAATGACAGGGCAAGACACCTAAACTGACAGTCCTCAAAACCTTTCTGTGGCAGACATCAGTAGGCCTATATAACACCTCTGCCATAAACATAATCAGGTTCCTTTTATTTTGGCACTGCAGGTGTAGAGTAACATTTATTTAGGTTTTTGGCACAAGATAACACAACATACACAGGCTCTCTTGGTTTATGATACTCTTTGCTCCTCCATCTTTCTCCAACCAACATATCCAACCATGATAGTTTTCCTAAACATGTAGAAATCAAGCTAGTGGGAAGATTATAAATCAAATTAAACAAGATAATCTGCTGATCTAGATCTTACTTGTTGGTCATTTAATGTTAATTAACACATATAAATTTGTTAATTTGAAGAACAACCAACCCCTGGAACACCGAAGCAACACCCAGTGATGACTTTGAAATTAACAGTCAAAATCTCATGGAGATTTCCAGTTCCTAAAACACTCTGTTGACACAGATATTACCAGCTCAGGCCTGATTTTCTCTTGTTCCTTGAAAAAAATCTGTTAAACTTTGGTTGATGGGTGGTGAAGGGAGGTCAGTGGCCAGATGAATGTTGGGTCATGGATGCGGTGGAGAAGGACGTGACTGTGGCCACTGTGTAAATGGAACAGGACAGAGGAAGAGAGGAGAGGTGGCTTGTTTTGGAGGGCTTTCAGCAAATCAAAATCTCTGTAGAGGATTATGGAGGTGGGGCAGATCATTGATCATTTGGACCCAAAACATCAAAACAGGTACGTGACACCACCTCCTCAGCAAAACCCTTTGCTCCCTCCAAAACCTCCTCCAACTACTGGTGCAGTCAGCAGTAACTCCAGTTACAGTCATGGCCACTACTTCAAATCCGGTAAAGAAATTCACTTTCATTCATACTGTATAGTGTATACTGGCATGTGTCATGCCAGCCTCTTTTAGAAATGCATTTAAACTGCAGTATTTCATAACATGTTTCATGTAGAATGTGGAGTTTGTGAGAACAGGCTATGGGAAGAATATGGTTAAAGTTCTTCACATTCGCCGTGAAGGGATTCATCACCATATTACTGAGCTGATCGCAGATGTTCAGTTAACCCTGAAGACACGCAAAGACTACTTGACAGGAGACAACTCTGATATCATCCCCACTGACACCATCAAAAACACTGTCCACGCTCTCGCCAAACTAAAAGGAGTAGGTCCTTTTATTCAGTTTAGCCCCTGCAACTTACTTGTTTTAGCTAAATTCATAATTTTCTTTCCCAAATATAAATAAAAACAAACAAAAACTACATTGTAAAAAATATTTTTTGTTACATAAAAAGGAACTTCATGTGATAAATTAGCCTAGAAGACAAATATATAACTACCACAGTTCTGAATCAGCTACATACTCACTTTTTCGAGTGAATGCCAACCAGCAGTAGTTTAGATAATCAACACAAATGTCTAGTGTACAAAGTATTCTCTGAACTAGTTATCAAATCAACTTAAGTCATCTTGCAATTAAACAATTTTGTTTTGTTATTTCAAGCCATGTCTGTATGATAAAGCACAGAATATTTCTTGTCTTGCAGATTAAGACCACTGAGGGCTTTGCCCTGGATATCTGTGAACATTTCCTCACAGCGTTCAATCATGTCACAAGAGTGAGGGTCAACATTGATGAAGTTCCCTGGAAAAGACTGGAAAAGGTGCTGTGTTACCGCTAAAGCAGACTATATACCGTGACTCCCAAAAAGTATGTAGACATTTGTATTTATATTTAGTCATTTAGCAAATGCTGATGAAAACTACTAAGGAATCAGGAACATCACAATTAATTTATTCTACAAAAGCTATGAGTACTCACGATACTGCAAGAGAACCAAAGCTAGAGAAGTTCAGAAAAGCTTCTTCTTGTTCTTATTATTATTATAAAAGTGCCTTTAAAAAGAAGTGTCTAGCTGGGCTCACCAGGAGTTCTGTGTTTGCAAAGTTAAGCTTAAGGTGGCATCCCTTCACTCATGCCAAAATGCCTGAATCGCACGCAGAACTAAAATCTGAGATAGTGGGGTTGCCAGGTTGGAATGACAGCTGTGTATCATCTGTGTAGTAGTGATGGGAAAAGCTGTTTACTTTTATTATTGGGCTGAGTGAGGTGGTCTATATCGAGAAGAGTAAGGGACCAATGACTGAACCCTGAGGCACCCCAGGGGTTAGCTGATGTAACTTTGGACACTTACTGGTTGCTTGTGAAACAAATCCAGAGTAATGTGATGAACTACACCTGTAGTAACTCTGGTGCCAGGACTAGCCAGCTTAGACCTAAATGGATCTGACTTCATACAGCCACTAAAAATCACCTTGACACCAGTCAGATGCCATTTTGTTTGATAAATGTTTAAATTATATAATTGATCTTATTTTATAATACATTATTAAAACATTTTGTGGCCCCTGTAACACTTGGCTAGCATCGTATAGCTGAGTAACATGTTTTTAATGCGCAAAATATTATTAACATGTGTTTAACAGAATGGAGTTGAGCACACACATGCTTTCATCCTTTGTCCTGAGGCCTGGCACTTCTGTGAGGTCGAACAACATTTGAGTAGTGAGTAAAAATGAGATTCTGAACTAGTGATGGTGGTCTGAAAGTATTAAGGGGAAAGTATATTCTTGCTTTATTTCAGCATATATATATATCTTTCTCAGTGACTCCAGTGGTTCACAGCGGTATAAGAGATATGAAGGTACTGAAGACTACTCAGTCTGGATTTGAAGGCTTCCTGCGAGACCGTTTCACCACTCTGACAGATGCAAAGGACAGATTCTTCTGCACTTCTGTTTATGCAAGATGGCGCTACAACACACATGTGAATGTGGCATTTGATGCTGCATGGTAAATGCAAAACGTTTAGACGTCATAATAAAATGAAAAACATTTAGACATTTCATAGCACATGATATCCGTTATATGTTGTACTGCATGCTGTACTGTATATTACTCCTAACTGTAATGATAATGTCCTTGTAGGAAAATTGTTAAGGACACCATCATTCAGAAGTTTGCGGGACCCTACGATCGTGGAGAATACTCTCCGTCTGTTCAGAAAACTCTGTATGATATACAAGTTCTGGTACTTGACAGAATTCCACAGGTAAATCAAACGGATTTCAGTTTTGTGTGACTTTTGTTAGAAGTGTTTGCTAAGGTAAGCATTACTCATACTTAAGAGTTATTGCTCTCTTTAAGTGGTTTGTTGCTTTATTATGTTACTAATTTACAAGTAAATGTACTTAAAAGCAATTGTAAAAAGAAAATGACATAAGTCTTGTCATTACTGGAATCCCGTAGGTAGAAGAAATTGAGATAATTATGCCAAATCAGCATTATTTCATCACCGACATGACAAAAATTGGACTCTCAAACAAGGATGAGGTGAGTGACAGAAATCCATTGGAACATTTTGGAAAAAAAAGTCAAGAGGTTATCAGTTCAGATCGGTCTGAATATACTTCTGTATTGACACAGGACAAAGTCTAGAGTTTTCAGGCTCTGTGACAAAATCAGGAATTTTGAGACTGCTACTCTTAAAATGACTTTATTGCCAAACTTCTACAAACCACACACACAGGAGGAGGATGTTTTGTTATCCCAACTTAGAGATGATAAAGTAATGATGTTTCTTTGTTTGTATTTATATTTAAAAACCACATGTCACATTATGTTGCTGTGCTTTCGTTTCAGGTTTATCTTCCCCTTGATAATCCATCAGGAAACATCACAGGCACTATACGCAGAAAACCACGAGCCAAAATGTAGAGAAAGACTGACAAAAATTGGACTCTCAAACAAGGATGAGGTGAGTGACAGAAATCCATTGGAACATTTTGGAAAAAAAAGTCAGAGGTTATCAGTTCAGATCGGTCTGAATATACTTCTGTATTGACACAGGACAAAGTCTAGAGATTTCAGGCTCTGTGACAAAATCAGGAATTTTGAGACTGCTACTCTTAAAATGACTTTATTGCCAAACTTCTACAAACCACACACACAGGAGGAGGATGTTTTGTTATCCCAACTTAGAGATGATAAAGTAATGATGTTTCTTTGTTTGTATTTATATTTAAAAACCACATGTCACATTATGTTGCTGTGCTTTCGTTTCAGGTTTATCTTCCCCTTGATAATCCATCAGGAAACATCACAGGCACTATACGCAGAAAACCACGAGCCAAAATGTAGAGAAAGACAACATTCACAAACCAGACATCTCATACAAACAAACCCTATAAAAGCAATTTCAAGTTAGGCACTAGCATGATTATCTGTCTAAACATTCAACAAACTTGATTTTTTAAAATTAGAAACAGATTTTTTGTGTAATCACACAAGTAAAACAAACAAATAATATAAAAATATGTTGGAATGAAAACATTCACATCATGGATAAATATATTAATAAATATAGTCCAAAAATGTGTACATGTTCATCATTATAACTTCGTTGTTTGAATCCATTTATATTAGGTTTTATGTTTGAGTTTTCAGAGTTTTAACATTGTTTTCCTAATGAGTATTTTAAAACCAAAAATGTCAGATGTGTTAAAATTTCGGTTTTTGTTTGAGTTGAAAGGTGTTTACAGCAGTGGTTTTGGAGTAACCACAACAATTATAATCATTATGAACATTAAAGAACAATTAGCTTCATCATCACCTTAGTATAATAAGGAATTAATTTTAGAAAAAAAAAAAAAAAAACTGAAACAGATAAACATGCATGTAACAATTCTGGGATTTAATTGTTTTAGGAGATTGTTTTTAAGTTGAAAACTGATTATTACATTTAATGATCCATTTTTGGAGATATTATTCAAATACACATATGCACAAAAGGAAGGAAGTCACACAGCACTGTAATGAGGACCAGGAAGTGGATTTTTTCAGCAATCTGAAAAAGCACCATTTATTGCAGTCTACGCTCACTTTAGTTTCATCTTTTAAAACAACCTGTATCACAAGCCGCTGTAGATTTACAGTGTTGTGTTGGGTTTCAACAACAACAATTCACCAAATCATCAGGAATCACATTGTTAGTTACAAAATGAAATAACTCAACTGAATTCATAGCAGCACAAAGCACTGTCATTCTGACAGGATTCCTGCAAACAAACCCCTAATGTATTGAGCATTTATAGCTGTAAACCACAACAAATTAGGGATGCACGATATTATCGGACAGATATCGGAATCGGCCGATAATGGCTTTAAATGTACATATCGGCATCGGCCCGATATGAAAAAATATGCCAATGTGTCTTGCCGATAAGAGGAATATGTTAACTCACATGTGCTCAGGGTGTGCTAGCGATTAGATCACATCAGAAGTGTGACTCATTCTGGAAGCAAAGTTTTGCCGGAATGGTGATTAGATTCACTGCTTTGGATTGCTGCATTTAAACTGAGAATGCACGTACAGAATGACCCGTTCGGCTTATATATGCTAATTTATTCATTAATGTGTTATATGTATTATTTTTTTAAACAAATTATGAGCTCTAAAAGATTTTTAGAATTTTTACAACTCTTTTGCTTTAGACCATCTACAAATGTTAAATCTTAAAATAAAATGTTAAGATTACTACGGCATCTTTCTGAAAAAAATTCAGCGATTGATATACAGTTTGTTTATAATTATTTTCAAAGCTTCAATGTACTGTCATTATAAAAGAACTTCATTCTTGTTTATTTAATTCTAACAAATAAGTTCTTCTAAAAAAAAAATTAAAAAAAAATTTAATAATTTGCTACACTTGGTGTTGTTTCCAAACAAAAGGAAATATATCGGTATCGGCTATCGGCCAAAATGAGTTGAAAAATATCGGCATATCGGCAAAAATCCAATATCGTGCATCCCAACAGCAATACATAATTTTCAGACATTTGATCATTTGTGCTGTTACTTTATCTCAACAAAATTTTTATCTATTAAAAACCAGAAAAAAAAAAACAAACAAAAAAAACACCACCAACAAACCAATAAAAATCAAAACGGTGGCAGCAACCTCCCTTTCACTTCTGTTCAAATGTACTTCATGCGTAACAGAAACATCTTCAAGAACAGTGTTTCAATTTTAGTTCAAGCCATTTTTCATTTTACATCACAGATCACATTATTAAACCAAGCATTTAATCTTAAAAGCAATAATGATTTATGTACAAGTACACAAAGTGAAGGTAAAATCTGAATGAACATGTTAAACGCAGGTAAACTAAAAACAGTAAATATGCCTGTACAGCAGAATGAGACCTTAAAAGCAATACATTCACCATGTTTATTTATTAAGATGCATAAAATGTATTAGTTCTGCCTGCAGTTACCCTGCGCACCTGCTGTGATTGTCTTCCATGCATCCTTGTGGCTGCAGCAGCTATGAGATGTTACTTTTTAAGTGCTGGGTTTGGAGAGGCTTGACGTGATACTCATAGATCTTCAGTGCAGGACCCAGTTTTATTGACAGTCCGGTCAGAACGTCATTTCGAGTCATTAATAAAAGGGATTTGCCATCGATTTCCTGCCGAGGGAAAGTTTAGCAAAAAAGACACAGGAGATAAATAATAAAATGATATTATTTATTCATAACACGATTGTCTTATAAAATGACGAAGCGATGCTCCACTGATCTAGGAAACTGCACAATTACTGTCAAATTCCCATCATTTTTTTATATACAGCTAACTGTGACTGAGAGATTAGTGACTGAGCATTTAGTTACGCATATTTAAAAAAAGTGCATGCCAACATAAATTCAGGGAAATTTAGTTTAATATTCCAGATCTAAAGTATATCATACATAATAAAGATTAGCTCAACTAATAATGAATTGCCTCAAACATGGAAATACAAGCCATATTACTGTACATTTGTTCTGTTGAGAAGTGGGGGTCAGACCTTTCAAGAAACGTTTGGGAGAAATGCAAGGATAAAATGTATTTCTAATGGTTGGAAAAATAATGTCTTATCTTGTTCAGTCAATGATGTTTCGTAAAATGTCTATTGCTTTTCTGTTTTCAACATTTCTTCATTTAGCAGACGTTTCCTCCAAATTGGCTCAAGAATATTTTATTTGGTAAGTAAAAAAATAAATAAATAAAT